TGACTCACTTTTTGATTTAGGTGGAATCGTAGGAGCTCCCTTTTCTGCCTGAAAGAAATAAACAGGGATTGTTCATGTTCTAGTACCTAGGTCAGTCATCTTCAAAGGATATCCAGATTGTAATTCATCTTATCAGGCAATGATTCTCGATTAACCAAATAACTGGATGTTACAGGGAATAGGACATTCACTATTGACCTCAGTATTCTAGTTCAATCCAATGTCAAATATTGATACTCGTATGAAAGAAAAAACGCTAATATCATTGAGTTAAAACACAAAACCACCAAGAGAGAACATAATCTTACTGGGGCCAATTCAACAGGAGTCATATCATTTAGTTGGAAAGCCTCCTTGAGCTCATCTATATCAAAAGGTTGAATGCGGGTATTAGTCTCCCGGCTCTGTGACATGTTCTCAATAAGCTGATCTAACTGCATTCCTTCTCCTTTTCTGATCTCTGTGTCTCCAACCACATTATGAAGATAATGGGCATCTGATAGCGATGCGGGAAGTGATCTTTTGCAAAAGAATTCATAGTGTTGCAATAGTTTGTATTGAGATATAAGATCCACAGCACCACACAACTCTCTCGGACCTGCACTTATAATAACCAAAAGCACATTGACCTCAAGGTGATCAAAGGGAAAAAGAAAGGACAACAAACCAAACAAAACACTTCACGAATTGTAAGTAGCTAAACTAATTTACCTCCAAATTTTGTTTGTTCAGGTTCCATCGTCTTTATCACACTCTGATTTGCTTTTGCATGATCACTGCAATATGTATCCTACAAAAGAAAAAAAAAACCTCAGAACCATTGAATGCCAGGAAAAAATACTAATACACGAAAGCATTTGCAAATTCAGATTCGATACTGCCTCAACTAACAATTTGTAGCCTAAACAGCACAAAACCACAATAATTATAACTAATCACCAGCTCATACTGCATAGTGACTGAAACTGATGGAGTCTCAACAAAACCAGGAGATTATAAAATATCTGAATTAGCATAAATTACTATCCAAACTCAATTTATAACCCACATCCCCTCATTCTCCAAGCTCTAAATAATGAACTAAACCATTAGAAATGGCAAAAAATTGTCTTATGAGTAAAAATCATATACCAAGTCTTATGCATTTTGGAACAAGTCAACAGGAAAGTTTCTTACATTTTGGATTATCCAGGAAAGCTAACAATAACAATCAGACAACGAAGTAAGCACTAAAAAACCGAACTTTAGACTCAAACAGAACAGGAATTCCAAAACACGAACCGAATCGAAAAATTAGAATTCGAAATCAATCAAACTATTCAAAGCACAATCCATGGTTCAAACCCGGTATAAGAAAAAGAATCGAAATCAAAGGGAAACAAGCTCCACACACGGTTTAACACATCAGATCTCGTTGATGAAATCTAGCTGCGACCACAAAATCGCACCGCTCGAGCAGCCAAAAAACACGAATCCAAAGCAGACGAAACGGAGAGAAGTGGTTGGTTGGTTGGCTCTTGGGTATTCGATTTCCCGCGCAAATAAAATTTTGGATAAGCAGTGAAGGAGAAGGGGACAGAGATCGAGGAAGGTTCGAGAGAGCGAAAAGGAACTAGTTTTAGGGTTTCAGAGTTTTTCTTTGTCTTTTGTTTCTTAACCAATGGGGGAAAAACTCTTCCTTTTATTTTATTTTATTTTATTTTTCCCGTTATTTAAGAGTTTTGCGTGGGCTTCACGCGCCTTCGGGTACGGCCCAGATAGAAGTGAGTGAGGAAATTTATTGAAGTATCCAATAACGACGGATCCGAGTTCGAGTAATGGATCTTATTATTATTATTATCCGTGTTCGATCCAAATATTTCGGATAAGATCAAGATCCAAATATTTACCTAGCCAACAACTTAATCTTCCTTTGTCTGCTCAAACACTGGTTTTCGCTTTGCTTGATAGTTGTGGGAAAATTCTTATCCACTGTTAATATATATATTAATTATGTGATGATATCGTAAAACAAATTCAAACATTATAGAGTTAAATTAGAAAATAAATTTCATGTGAATAATCACATAAAAACTATATAATATTTTATAAATAGTTTTATCAAGAATCACATATAAATCTATGACTGATAAATGTATGACACTAATATCACTGGTTTTTTTTGTCACGGAGATCTATACTCGTCAAACCTTAAACACTTTTGGATTTAAAGAACAATA